CAGCAACAACCATGTTTCCCATCGCACGACACCGTTCATCACAAACGATTTGAAGACAGGAAACATATATAACAAGACAAAAACTCCTGACGACGAGGACACACACTGGCAAAAAAAAAGGTTCTTCCAATCTTTAAACTTCGCACAACTGTGCGAACCAGGTAGCCATCAACAACATGAAAACGATAATCTGAAATCGTTGACGACAATCATGCCGCCGTTCCATCGACCAACCAACCACGCGCACGACGACCATGGACACGGACCACGTAATAACTCCAGCCGCCTACCGATCGAACCACCCTGTGTGCACCACCTCCCTACCGCACGGTCCTACATCAAAGCTAGGCGGTCTCGCAGTGCATCCCTCAACAATTCACCTTCCACATTCGTGCACAACTGGATAACCGTTGTCGCCCAGCAGGTAGCCTCGCGTGACGACACCATGCGGCAGATTCTTTGGAGTTGCATCGAACAGCTCGCCACTTTCTGCACACCTAAACAACTGGGAATTGTGCAAGACACGGACGTCGTGCACACTTCCAGGGTATCCCACGTGGACGTCGAGGATCCGCAAATCCAAATCCACAACCACCTGCGCCTGCACGGAGAACTTCTGTTTGCGGTCGTAGTAGTTCTTGGAAGGTGCGCCGGCGGGCTTGTCAATGTAGATGTGTGTACAGWCGATAGCGCCGAAGCAGTTTGGGAAACCCTTCTCACGGAAAGCGCGCAGAATCTGCGCACGTCTCCTGCCCATTGGCCACTTTATCGCGTCGGGGTACGCCTGCAGCAGCGCCGAAGTGACGTCGCGGACAGCCTGCAGTCCAGTTGCCCTGCCGATGCCAAATGATGATGTGCCGCTCTCGTACGTCTCTCCGGACGCCCACCTGTATAACGCGAAAGCAATCAGCTGCTCCACTGGCAATGGCATCCGATAGTGCGTCACCTTCTTCTCCATGTACGCGGCTACGATGTGGTTGAACATGGCCGTCGACATGCGCAGCTTCTGCCGGAAGTACTCGTCCGTCGCATCGTCCCGAAGTCGGAGGTCCTCCCATGTCCTGCTAGTCCGTCGTTTGATCCACCATCGTGGAGTCTGCCGCGGGAAAACGCGAGACGTCACCGCGTTACACAACTGGACGACTGCCTCACATGTCGCCGCGCAATCCGGCGCCTCTGCAACGCTCTGCAACAACGCTCTTCGTTGCCGGAGCCGCGTCAGCATGTCACGCGACGAGGACTCCATGTTGCCCATCGTGTTCACGACGACGGCAGTCACCGCCATCGCCACGGCGTCGATCTCTTCGTCGCGCAGACTGTTTGAGCAGCCATGACTGTCCATCTCTGCCAATCCTCGCACGGTTTGCCACGTCACGCCTTCGACAGCCGCCTCAGACACGCTCGCCGCGGAACCCTGCCGTCGTAGAGAAACAACGCCAGAGTCCACGATGGCAACGCTGCTGTACAATGACACACGAGACGGACACGCGTCCGTCGCTCCACGCTTCCAAAGGACGGTACGCACGCCGGAGGCGAACGTGCGGCTCACACGATCATGTGCACGCTCCTCGCAAGTTGCGTACACTCGAAAGATGGATTCCGTGCGGCGAACGGCAGGGAGGCGCCGTATTTTTCAGGTCACACGCGTCGGCAGGGAGGCGCCGTCTTTTTCACGGCGCACGCGTCCGCGAGAATTCGAATTCAAAATTTTGAAGTTCTGGGGAACCGCGCTTTTCACTGATCCGTCGACTCCCGCCCAAGGCCCACCGCATTCTGTACCACGGACACCGCCGAGGAATGGACGGACATCGGCGGCACGGCTGCGTATACGCATATGAAAACGGGCCGCGGGGAACCTTTTAGGACGAGTCCTAAAAGATGATTTTTAGGACTGCGTGTAACGACGCCGCACGAAAACCTAAAAAACCTTTAGGACTCGTCCTAAAAATTTTAGGATTCTTTTAGGAGTGTCTAACGAGACCCTAAATGTGAATGGCTGCCTCTCACAGACAATCCAATTAACACGCTCCTTGCGCCAGGGCTGCCCCTTGGCCCCGCTACTCTTCGTAATCCAACTCTAAGTCCTTCTAGATAATATTCGGTATAATGATAACATTATTGGCCTACAGATATCCTCCTTTCTTCACTGCAAGGAAATGCACTAGCGGATGACTTAACAGTGATCTGCAGAAACACAGCGAGTTCACTAACAGAAATGAGAACCGTGGTAGAGACTTACTGTGCTCTGTCAGAAGCCTCGATAAATTGGAACAAATCATCCTTTCTTTTACCTGAACCCTGGGAGTTGGCACTGGACTGGAGGATGAGTAGGGTGGGGGAAAGAGAATCAGAGAGACTCCTGGGTGTGCAGATTTCATTGGGGAATGTCTCGCCAAAGCAGGACTCGGTACTCGAATTGAAAGCAAGGACAAGGATAGCGAACTGGGAAAGGGGTTACCAGTTGTCGCTATTCGGGAGAGCACTGGTGATATCAGCGGCAGCATTCTCGATTCGATGGTTTCCTATGGGGATCCACCTACTTGGAGACCAGGCGGACCAGAGCATTCGGCGCTCGGCAGCGGGCTACATTTGGAAACCATCATCCATTTTTTTTATTTAAAAAAAAAAAAAAAAAACAAACAAACAAACTCTACCAATGTTAGTGTTGCTGATAAGAGCAGACACCACTAACACCTGGGTAGAGACTCCATCTATTGGTGGGGAGCGGCTTGGGATACAATAGCACAGCCAAGAGCGGACGGGGGGCTGGGCCTGTTGGATCCGAGACAACAGAACATAGCATTGTTGGGAAGATGGCCCATCAACTTGAAGGCTACGTTTGAAAAAGAGGACAAAATATGGATCAAATTGGCAGAGTACATATTGGGGACAGAATGGGAATTGGATAATCACAACGCAGTGTGGCGGTGTTTGCTGATTCAACTGCCATTTCGTCAAAATGGACATTTTTTATTTTTTGAACGAAATTGAAACTGAGTTTTTTGGCCGAAAACTCGTCAAAATTTGCTGTTCCTGAGGGTCCGGCGTTGCCATTTCGTCAAAATGGACATTTTTTATTTTTTGAACGAAATTGAAACTGAGTTTTTTGGCCGAAAACTCGTCCAAATTTGCTGTTCCTGAGGGTCTGGCGTTGTTTGTAAAACGCCGGACCCTCAGGAACAGCAAATTTTGACGAGTTTTCGGCCAAAACACTCAGTTTCAATTTCGTTCAAAAAATAAAAAATGTCCATTTTGACGAAATGGTCCTTATTCCGTCATTTGCGAACAGACGGCCAAAGTCACAGACTTGGAAGTCTATCCTCACAGCGTGGCGAAAAACCAGACCAACAGAGAACTCCCCCCCCTCACTCAAAGGCCAGGTGTTAAACGAATTTCTTTTTGAAAATGATGGAATCCTGCAACAGGATGGTTCACCCTTCTCAGCGGCCCAGACGCAGGTTAGTTTTGGCAGGTCATGGATCAAGAAAGCTATTTTAATGATTAAGGACATCTGGGACGAACAAACTCAGTACTGGGTCACACAGCAGAGACTAAGATTACATCTCCCAAGGTTCCATAACGTCAGGGTTCACTATGCTGCAGCGATCCCACAGACTTGGAAAACACTGCTGAGAGCCAGTGAGAGGAGAAGCTCTACCTTATGGGAACTCATGGGTAAGAGCGCCAACGGTGGAGGAAAAGTTCTGGAGGATCCTAGGCCCAGATCTTCAGCAGGGTACGAGGATCCAGGAATGGAAGCCAGCAGCATACTCGACAACAGCACAGGTGCTTTGCGGACCGCTAACCTTGACTGTGACGCACGTGCATAGGGCACTTGCGGAGATGGTGAG